TGCATTTGTATAACAATTTTTTCATATTAATGAACTAATAGTACAAAAACCTATACATAGTAGCAGATTAAAAAAAAAAAAAAATTGCATTTTAAGTTGGTAAAAATCTATCTTGAAAAGGTCTAGGAAAATTGAATTTTTAAGGTACCGTATGTACAGAATGTTATTAAAAGTTGGGTCTGGAAACTTATTTTCTTCCTGAGCCTATATCTCGAAAGCTTAAGTGATTTAAAAAATAGATTTTAACATATATTTTACTTATCTACCCATACCTCGCTTGAATGCACCTTATACTGAAACGCAGTGTATAAACATTGTTTGTATTTTTCACTCTTCTTCCCCCCCTTAGACACCTATGACAACAAGTCGATTGTGACACACTTTTAAGATAAAAAGTCAATCTTATATACAAAAAGGTTGGCCACCCCTACTCTATATAATTTAACAAAAATCTTATTAATTATTATAGCTCAAGAAGAGCTATATCAATAAAGAGGTGGGGAAATTGCCCCTTTTATGGGATCATATTAGAACTGAATTGGTTCGTTTTGTAACTTGTTGCTCGTTAACAATAACTTTGATGAATAAAATTCAGAATGGTTAGAGACTTGAGAACGATTAACTAGGAAGAAGCGAAGAATCGAACAAACAGTGGAATTCGATGACTAACTCTCTGGACTGATTTCTTTCAGATGTAGTTTTGAGATTTCCTAAAACCTTCTTTCTACATAGAACTTAACAATTAAAAAAAATTCAGAAAGTTAGGAAATTAAATTTTTTGGTATGTTTCCAACTAAAGTTTTATTAAAATATTTGCTTCTTACCAGTAGATGGTGTTTTTATTTTATTTTATTTTTTAAATTGAAAGACATTTAAAAAATATAAGCATTGGGTACTACACAATTTAGTAAGCAAGTAAGCTGAATATTTCAGATTTAGTTCAACCTTGTTATCAAACATATGTTAATCAAAATAAAGTGTTAAAGTTTTTATTGCTCTACATTAATGACAAATTGAAAAGTTAATTTGGTGTAAAACAAAGCAAAGGAATGGCAATGGCCTATTTTATTTTTACAAGGTGCTCAACTAAGTTACCAAAGAGTGTATTCTGTTCATTATTTACTCTAGAGCAGTGGTTCTTTTTTCTTTGATTCACCAGTGATAGAGTGGTAGAATCCAGAAATTATTTAGTTAGGACATGTTTATACCCCATTTGATGGATAATATGGAATTGTTGAAAGAGTAATACAAACATGGGAATTATTCCAGGCAGATAAACAACATTAGTTCAGCCTTTAAGATTTGTGTATCTATAAACCATTCAAAGAAAACTCAAAATAACAGTGGAATATTTGCATGTTGGAAGGTGAAAAAATGTTTAAAAAGAGGTCAAATGCATCACGCCAGTCTAGAAAATAGTGTGCGAGTGGATAATAAAAGCATGGAATGAAATTAAACCTGATATATTCAAAAGTTACTTAAAGTGTAGGATATCCATTATCTAGATGGAATGGAAGATGTTTATTTATTTACGGATCAGAGTAAGAGTGATAGTGAAGATGAAACGGAATTCAATGATGTGCCTGAAGATATAATGGATGATGAACTTTTCATATTATCTGAAAATGAAATTTATAAATTCATAAGGTATGCTGTTTCTTTTAAATAAACAGCATTTAGGTACATGTTGAAATCTAATTTTTGTATGCTCATCTTCCTTATTTTTTAATCTATCATCTAGTGTAATTTACAAGGGTAAGGTGAAAAGTTCTCAGTCTGACCCAGAGATGGTGTTGCAATCAGCAAAAATTTGTTTCCCACCTGGGTGCACGTGTCATTAGTTCGTATGACCAGTTTCAACTTGTTCTCCCAAGCTGTTTGTTCACACAAATTTCCACAGTAGATGCCTAGTGTGTTATTCGTTAAAATGGATAAACTTGAATATCATGTGGTCATAAAATTCTTCGTTTTGGATGGATTAAGGAAATTCATTCAAAGTTGACAAAAGTTTACTGGGATTTTGCTTCTTCAGTGTCATTGAAAAGTGGGCAGCTGAATTTAAATGTGGTTGCACATCCCTCGAAGATGACTCACGTGAAGAATGGCCAACATACCGGAAACCATTGAAAAAAATGCATGAAATTGTGCTTGACAATAGGTGAGTGAAATAGCTGAAACTATGGGGATATCGGAAGAAAGGGTGGGAAAGATCTTGCACAAAGAATTTTGCTGAATGCTGATCAAAAGCAAATGCACAAACGATTTTCACAGCAATCTTTGGACTGATTCAGCCGGGGTCCGACCGATTTTGTGTGGCGATCTGTCACCGTGGATGAAACATGGGTCCACCATTATATGCCAGGAACGAAACAGCAGTTCAAGCAATGGGTGAAAGCCTGTGATTCAGCACCAAAGAAAGCAAAGTCGATCGCATCACCTTGAAGGTTATGGCCAGTTTGTTTTGGAATCTGAAAGGGATCCTGTTAATTGATTACCTTGCCAAGGGCAGAACTATTACTCCAACCTTCTTGACCAGCTGGTTGCCAGTATTCGCAAGAAGAGGCGTGGCTTGAAGAAGAAAAAATCATCTTTTACCAGGACAACGTGCCTGTGCACAAGGTGCATTAATGATAGGAAAGCTACGGGCTTTGGGGTATGATTTGCTCAACCGTCCCCCCCTCCCCATTCTGATTTGGCACCCTCAGACTTCCACCTGTTCACAAACTTTAAGAAATTTATTTCTGGGAAGAACTTCATATCCAATGAAGAAGTTCAGAGGGTCAGATGGGTATTTTCACAACCTTCCAGACTCATGTCTTTTGTGAAGGAATACTGATGTTGGAGAAATGCTAGACCAAGTGTGTTGAAGTCATGGGAGATTATGTAAGAAAATAAAATTATTTTTTAACTGAAAGGTGCAGTCTTTCATTGTCAGGCTCGGAACTTTACACCTTACCCTCGTATCATCTGGTTTATAATGCACACCCCATATATTTCAATCTTATTTTTTGTATTTAAAGTGTATGTTATACTTCAAAATATATGGTACCTATCTGGCAAAAGAATATTCAGCTATATTTATTACACAGTATGCACAGCAATTCTCTGATTGCATGGAGCTTATTCTTCTGACTTATTTTCTTTGGAAGTTTATTTAAATAAAATTCTGCAAAAATATGAGTTTATTTTTTTAAATCTCAAACCCAGAGACTTGAGTTCCATCAAAATATCTAATGTTTTAATGAAATCATTTTATAAAAATAGATTTAGTGATAATTGTTGAGATGTTTCACTTAGAGTATTTAACACTTATCTTTAAAACAAAAATACTTAGATAAAAATTCAAATCAAATTTTTATTAAGTTGTAGAGGCTATACACTGAAGTGACAAAAGTCATGGGATAGCAATATGCAAATATACAGATGGCAGTAGTATCGCATAGAAAATGTATAAATGCGAAGTGTTTTGGCAGGGCTTTCATTTGTGTTCAAGTTATTCGTATGAAGAGGCTTTGATTATGGCCACACGACGAGAATTAACAGACTTTGAATGTGGAATGGTAGTTGGAGCTAGACGCACGGGTCATTCCATTTTGGATATCGTTAGGGAATTCGGCATTCCGAGATCCACAGTGTCAAGAGTGTGCCGAGAGTATCTAATTTCAGGCATAACATCCCACCATGGACAGCGCAGTGGCCGACCACCTGCACTTAACGACTGAGACCAACGACGTCTGCGTAGAGTTGTCAATGTTCACAGACAAGCAACACTGTGTCAAATAACTGCAGAAATCAATGTGGGACGTGTGCGATAGGACAGTGCGGTGAAATTTGTTTTCCTTGGGCTATGCCAGCAGAAGACCGACTCGAGTGCCTTTACTGACAGCGCGACATCGCCTGCAGCGACTCTCGTGGGCTCGTGAGCATATCGGTTGGTCCCTAAACGAATGGGAAATCGTGGTTTGGTCAGATGAGTCACGATTTCAGTTGTTAAGAGCTGATGGTAGGGTTCGAGTGTGGCGTTGACCCCATGAGACCATGGACCCAAGTTGTCAACAAGGCACTGTTCAAGCTGGTGGTGGTTCCATAATGATCTGGGCTGTTTTTACATGGCATGGTTTGGTCCTCTGGTGCAACTGAACCGATCATTGACTGGAAATGGATACCTTCAGCTACTTGGAGATCAGCCATTCATGGACTTCACGTACTCAAACAACGATGGGATTTTTATGGATGACAATGTGCCATGTCACCGGGCCACAATTGTTTGCGATTGGTTAGAAGAACATTCTGGACAATTCCAGCGAATGATCTGGCAACCTAGATCACCCGACATGAATCCCATCGAACATATATGGGACATCATCGAGAGGTCAGTTTGTGCCCAAAACCCTGCACCGTCAACACTTTCACAATTATGGACGTCTATAGAGGCAGGCATGGCTCAATATTCCTGCAAGGGACTTCTAACGACTTGTTGAGTCCATGCCATGTCGAGTTGCTGCACTTCACCGGGCAAAAGGAGGACCGACAAAATATTAGGAGGTATCCCATGACTTTTGTCACTTCAGTGTATATGTTGACTACTGATAGTCTCAAAAAAAGTTGCTGAATATTTTATCATGACATAGGATTAAATATTTGTAGGTAAAATATTAGATAAGCATTTATAACAATATTTGGTACATTACAAAAATGAAGATATCTAATTTTTATATTGATTTACTATGCAAAAAAAGATAGTGTAGCATATGCATGCATTTAAATTATTACTGATATTTCAAAATGAACATCAGCAATAGTATGCTTAAACAGCTGTATTTCAATTTAAATTTGTATTAACTATATAAAAAAATTAGCAGTTTTCTGATTAATTTTTTAAAATATATTCTGAATTGTACAAAAATATTTTTTGAAAGTTACACTCTATATGAATTTTGCATCAACAATTTCTGGATACACACATGAATAACTGATAATTAATTCTAAGACAACTAAAATTATGTTAAAATACACTTTTATTCTTAGAGAGACACCACTTAAAAATAGGTGTACATATTTTTTATTTAGAAAGCTTAACAAATAAAAATGAATACAGTTTATGAAACAGAAATAAATTCAAAACAAACATTACAGTGATAGTAGAAAAATACCCGTCTGAACATTAGGTGGGGCTACCCTTAAGGTACATAAATACTTAGTATTAAAACTGTAATGAGAAATGCAAGTAAAAACTAAGCAAACAAAAACGTTTTTTTCTGAGATATTTGATGATTAAATTCAATACTCAACTCAAAAACAGCAATTCATACATGAATCATTTCCATGGAATCCCTGAGTAACATTTAATATATTATGGCTGTTAAATACTCTTATCAAAGTTGCATGAAATGTAAAATCACATAGTCAATAAAACCAATATATAAAATGCTATAAGTCAGCCTGTTAAAAGAAACTGCACTATCTTTCATAGAAATCAGAAAATATTTATTCTGAGAGTTAACCATAAATTTAATAAAAATGAAAGAAGTCAAATTATTGGGAAAAGCACTGGACTAACTGCTTTTAAGTTTACAGACTTTCTGTTCTAGAAAAAACATGAGGAAAATTTAAAGAGTTATACTGCATTTTTGTAGAAGTTAACTTGGCTAATATTTATTAAGAATTATTAAGCCGAGTATATTTTTAATATTAAAAAGTTAAAAGGTATGGTAATATATAAGATAGGTTTGTAATTTATCTCATAATTTCTGCAATACTGAATAGTTATTACTTGAATAAATATATTAAAAAATTTTCAAAATGTTGGTATTTACTGTATACTGCTCAAAATAATCAGAGGATATGATTTTAGCATGAAATAACCATATATGATCTATTAATTTTTAACAAAAATTAAAGAAAAGAGTGTAAAAAAGTTATGATTACATATATGAATTATATGTAAATTTTGTTTGTGATGTCAAAAACTGTTCATGTGTTTTTCTGATAAGGAGTGACCTATAACATTCTTTATGTAGATAGAAATTAGAAACAACTGACATGCATTGAATGCTTCATGGCAATTAATGGAATGTCTCAACAACACGATTTAGCCAAATTGGTAACCTGGAGGGTCACTAGAGTTTATAAGTTGGTCATATGCAACCTTATTGTAACAGAAACTTTTGGAGTGCATCAAAGTGTTATTTCCAAATTAGACTTTGCAATTTGTTCTTAGAAACTAGAAGTGTTAGGCGAAGGTATAGAAAAGGCTGCAGAAGTGTAACAATGCCACTTCAACAGCAGCTTTTAAGGACTACTTGGCACTGATATTTCTGCTTTATAGTGTTGGTTTATATGCTTCCAGCTATATGGTTTGTGTTTCTTTAACATAAAGCCATAGTCGTGCCTGCAAAAGATGGGTACAAGAGTATATCAGCTGGAGATAACAGATGGTTTATCCTTTGGAACAAATGTGGCACTCACAGTAATCCTGCATTTAATAAACAAAAGTATCCTATTTGGAGGAGGTGTGGGTCGGTATCTCTATTAATGGTTGGATCAACCTTTTATATCATCAGAAATGAAGTGCTGATGCTTCAGTGATTTTAGACCTCTTTTGGTCCCTTATGATACAGTAATAAGGAATGAATTCATTCTCATGGATAATAATGCCAGACCACATAGTGCTCAACTAGTGATGCTTTTCATGAAGTTAGAATATATGGATGAGCATGTTCCTCAGATATGAACTGAAATGAACACGTTTGATCCATTCTAGGAAGAAGGTTTCTGGGTCACTGAACACCCCTAGAAACCGCTCTTGTACAGGAGTAGAAAAGAAAATCCCATTCTTTCCTTGATAATCTCATTGAGACTATGCTTTTTAAGTTTGGAATAAATGCTGCTTTCAATCAAGAGAAACCACACCCATTATTAACTCATTTTAATCCTAAAAATCACACTTTATCCCCTTTGTTTTATATGATATGTATAAAATAGGCAATTTAGTTTTCCCCAATAAACAACCAAGAATAAGATTTAATTAGTCCTTGTTCTGAATGTAATTTTATTTTCTCATTGTTTACAATGCCTACAGATCATTTACAGGCTAAAAACACTTTTCCTTACCTGCAAAAAATTCAAAAATCAAAATATCCTCTGACTGTTTTGAGCAGTGTATAATTAATACTATGTTAAAATTATTATAATTTTTATTTACAGATTTATACATAAACATTTCTTTTTTAGTGTTCTTATTTTTATGAATTTAAATTCAAATGTATATTCTTAACAATTAGCAATGTTAATATATACTAGTGTCAGAACTGTATTTCAAAAAGCAAGGTGCAGAACAAGACTAAAAAACTATTTAAAAATACATCAAAGTACCAAATATAATAAAAATTTGTTATCTGTAAGTTAATTTATATAAATGCATAGTTAATAAATCATTACTACTTTTTCTTTTTTTAAGGATTTGTTTCTTAAAGAATTGGATTATCAAAATATCCAATTCAAAATATTACTGATAATCATAGAAGTATTTTCATTTGAAGCCATGTCAGATGAATCAGATATGAAAATGAACTTAGGTCAACTGTTAATCCAGTGGTGTTAACATATATAAATTTACTACAATAAATTGCAAACATACATTAAGGTGAATCTCAATATACCTTTTTCTTGATTTTGGTTCTAAAATTTTACTTGTATTTTCAAGAATGCTTATTTTTTCTCTTTAAAATGTTTAAAATGTTAAAAGTTTAAAATAAAATACGTTATTGTGAAGTATAGGTTTGATTCATCATCTTGACAAGAGAATTTAATAACCATTTTAACTGAAGTTGTCCATATAACCAATAACCACAGCAGTCTATGGAGCATTCTCATCCTGTAACTGCTTCATCTTCAGAACTACTTCTCATACTAACAGAGACAGCTTTGTAGCGCTGAGGAACAATCACATCTTCTTCATCAGAGAATTCATACCTACATTTAAACTGGATATTAATTATTCCGTACTAAAATGGTTATACAAATTTGATTAGAAAAACTCTGACATTTGTAAAAACTTTTGATAAATCGATATATGGCAACTGCTTTTATTTTGAAACACATACATTAATAATTAGAAAAACTTAGTTACATATTTTCATTACGAACAAATGCAATACAAATTATAAAACTTAGGTGACAAATAAAGGTGGCAAAATTATTTAACCCTATTAACAACAATGCACATGCTGTATTAGGAACATGAATTTCACGATTAAAATTCACTTTTTAATATGATATCCAAAGCATATACACAAAAATATGATAACTTGCATTTGCAGGAAATTTCTTATATGGTATGTTGCTCTTGCATTTGATTTAAAAATTAACTTTCTCCAAAGAGAAACCTTTTAGAACAATAGAACTTATTAATGAATCACTAAATGCAGGTATTTAATATTGAATTTTTTTTTTGGGGTCTTCTAGGTTAATTAGCCAAAATTTGGATAGCAAAATACTCTGTTAATATTTTTCATTGTATTCAAAAATCAGTATTTCATGTATTACACATACTACTATAAAATTCTGATAGTACTGGCTTCATACTATATAGAACCTTAAATTTCCTCTGTCTAAAGTTGTTAATTGCAATAATAAAATTGTACTCCTTGGAAAATGACAAAGTAATAGATTCCTCATTACAAATGACAAAGTATCATTAATGAATACTGTTGATGACACTTTGAGAAGACTAGTCTTCTATAATAATAAAAGCAAGTGTAATGTGTCTGTCTGTCTGTCTGTCTGACCGAGCTCTCCAGCCAAATCTATCGCACGCAGGGACCTGGAATTTTTTATACAGAAGCACAAAGGGGCTGGCCACCAGACCTCGAAGCCCGATTTTCGATTTTTGAATTAGAAAAATTTAAAAAAAATTATTTATAATTAATTAATCACGGTTTTTTTTGACTCACTGATATTATTATTTGTTTTCAAATAACGTTCGATTGTAACAATTGATTTCTTTATTCTAGCGTTAGTTTGCTGTTTTGACGATACATTAAATCGATTAATTACAATTATTTCACAATTCATTTCTTTTTTGTAGCTTATTATTTATAATTAATTAATCACGGTTTTTTTGACTCACTGATATTATTATTTGTTTTCAAATAACGTTCGATTGTAACAATTGATTTCTTTATTCTAGCGTTAGTTTGCTGTTTTGACAATACATTAAATCGATTAATTACAATTCATTTCTTTTTTGTAGCTTGTGGGGGGGGGAAGAGAGAGAGACAGTCTACATGTCCTACACTACTATTCCTGCGTTATTCACTTATCTGCATTTTCTAAATGCACGGGCAACGCCGGGCGGGTACAGCTAGTATTTTATATTAATAACTTTTAGTTTATATAGGTTTCCTATACCACTGGACGTCCATTATCCGGACCTCAAAGCCACAAACTTTATGCATGCGCATAATGTATGTTTTACGCATGCGCGCATTAAAAGAAATGTTTAATAAAGTAAACAAATAAATATTAAGTTTTTTTTTGTAAAATTTGATATTCTTTAGATCAAAATTGCTCTTTATTTCATAAATTATGGTTTCATATTTTTAATTGTATAATTTCTGCATGCCATCTTACCAGACTTAAATTGATGATCTATAATCTGGAATTGCTGAAGTCCTGACAAGTCCGGATTACAGACTGTATATGTTACTTCCTATTCACTAAATTACTTTATAACTCTAATCTAAGACTTATACACAAAGACTATACACAAAGACCTACATATTAAGTGACAACTATTATTTAAACACCCTTTTGTAGTACACTTCTCAGCTTATGGGATACAAGATCTTAAGTTGACCAGTTTCATGATCTCAGTTTCACATTCCATACAACCAGATAGGAGCAAGCTCCTTTGTCATCCAACCCTCCGACAAATGAGGCTCTGGTTATCACACAAGTCATGAAAAATTAAGACAAGTGATTTAAGTTTTTTATATGCTATATCCATAATTTGTAACTCTTCATTATTTAACTAAAGAACAATATGCTAATTTAAAATTCAGACAGAATAACTAACAACATCTCTGCCAAATTTCATGTTTGGTGGGATTTCATAATTGCATGAGGCATATGAAATACACAGTTTTAAGACTACAATGCATCTGCCCCAATAAATGTAGGCTTTTGATATTCAAAGTGATAACAAATATGGTGATTGTTTTTACAATTTTAGAATAGGAATTTTTTCCATTAATTTAGCTTTTTTAATATGAATTATATTTCTTATATACTCAAATATATGACATTCAGCATTTCCTGAGGTTATACAATTGAGCTTTTACTGTATTTTGATATATTAAACGCAACTTACCATGGCTTATCTGAATTCAGTTTCTTAGCACTTTGTTTCTTCTTTTGCTATGGAAAAATAAGCAGCACATATAAATAAATGCATTAATATACGTAACAGACAAAAGTCTTGGCTGATTTTATAAATACTTACTATATTGAACAGAAATACATTTTAATCACTAAATGCTCTTTTTAAGCATCAGCAACTGCACAACTTATTTACAGTCCTTCTTGCAATATTTATAGTTAAAAGTAAATACAGGAAATGCAATTATGAAACATTTGAGTTTAGTATTTCCTTTTGAAACCTAATTGCTCTCAAGTAATCTAATAAAGAGGATCTAAATAGCCAATCTATTGTTAAAACGAATAGAAAATATATTTCAATAAGAAATGCACCTAAATAATTACAAAATTAAGAAAAATGTATGGAATAAGTAAGAAATTAAGATGATGTTCATAAAATTCCATCTAAAGCAGATTTGTTGTTGCGAGCTACTTCATTTATTCATAACAAAAAACTTTACATACAAATATTAATTGAATTATCAACACATTTAATTTATATAGGCTACCAAAAATGCTGGAATCTGGATACACTATTACAAATATCTAGATTATTTATATATTGTGCAAAATTTAAAATCAAAGTAACAAACTATACTCCAAACATACGCACATACATATAATGATGTAGAAATAAATGTGATGCAGAAATATCCATTCCATAGATGTTGAGATGTTGATCCACAGAACAACTTGGCAGGTGAGGCAGATCAAATATTTATTTTTATTCCAATTGAAATTTTTGGCCACAATTCACTTGGCACTCTTAATCATGCTTATTTCCACAATATTTACAGTTTAGAAATTGTTAATAAAAAATATGAAAGGGGAAAATTGAACATATGGAATAACATCAGCATGGCTTCAGCAGTTAAAAAAATGCAGAATTCAAGAGCATGAATTTTAGCTTTCAAGAGCTTGAAGTGTACAGTAAGCTTCTGAGTAGTGAATGTGCGTGGCAAAAGATTTTTTAAGTCAATTTGATAAATCAACTGTAACTTGCTTCTGGAGCACATATACAATATCAATGAGTCCATGAAAATGTAAGATAACAAAAACTCTAGCATTTGAAAAAGGGAATAAAAAAAAAAAAATGCTCCCAATCACAGTATCAGTAAATCGCATATTATGTTTGGAAAATGCTCTAAGGAAGTCATTAACTGATACCGTTCCAACAGAGAGCCAAGAAATTAAATGGAGAGAAGCAACCTGGCTTACTTCAGTCAGAGAAATGGGAGAATGAAGCAAATCAGTTCGAAACAAAATTTGTTCCACATGTGAAGGATAACATGTTTCTGGAGTGCCTTCATAAAAAGGCAGTTTTAGCACCCAGATCAATGTTAAGATCAAAAGAGATAGAAATTATTTTTGTAAAATATTTGCTCCTACGTGACATTTTTAATACAACCTGAGGACCCAGAATGCACTGCAGCAGTCAAATGGGACTACTGTTCCATGACTTAATGTAAATTAACCAGAAAAAGCCAACGGATGCAATCTATGAGAGTGCTGTCACATGACAAAACATCACCCCAGCAACTATCATAAAGTCAGACTAAACAGAAAATTCCACCTAAACAAGGGTAAGAGTGTGATACAGATGCACAGAAATTTATATTGGCAATTCTTATGCAGATTACAAGCAGCGTGTTTGATGATAAAAGAGCAAATAAAGAAAATATTTCAGAATACCTGGTGTATGATCATGATTTTGCAGGATTAAGATCCTCACAAATGGACAAATTATTAACCTTGTAAATGAAAAAGCAATATCAAGTGACAGTGAGAAAGAGATAAATAAGTAAGGGAGGAGAAATCAGCTGACAAAAGCTTATGCACTGCAATGTGCTTCACTATATCATGTTCTCAATTACTTGGAAGGGAAAGATGACACTTCACAAAATAAGTTCACTGATTTTAAAAAGAACTGCCAAGAAAAGTTTTAACAGACTTTTTAAGTGAGTTTGAACTCTACACTGTGGAAGGTCTCTGGTAAATAATGCTCTTTAAGGTCACTTAGTTTAATTTCACTTCATTTCTAGTGACATTTATTCTTTCATTATTCTGCATTCTTCTCGCTTTAAGTACTGATTTAATTTATGTAACTAAATTTATTCTTCAGGTTACACTGCTTGAAAATTAGTAATTATGATACTGATTACTCTCCTTTCCTGTGTTTTAGCCGTTTTTGGAATAAACATACATGTCAGTCTGAGTATTACTTGGGTTAATTAGGAGTTTATTGTATGTATCTCTTAGGCAACCCTTTCACGACAGTCTCAAAACTCAGTTTCAGAATAATTTAACAGTCTTATATTAATTTTATGCCTATTTTCTTGCAAACACGTTATAATAAACAGCCTTGGCTTAGTTTATATGTTAGAAGTACAATGCGAAGGATTCCAAGCTTAACTTATTTTTTTTGGTGCAACCCATTGATGGTAAATATGCACTATCTGTTTCACATCACATTATTATATAAGCTCTACCTTTTCTTCTTTAAGAAAGTTTTTACATGCATTAAATGTTTTCACTCCCTTACCCCCATTTTATTTTTTATTTTTAATTGTACTTTTACATTTTACCTGATTTAGGTTTTCAACGCCAAATAGTATCGAACAAAAATTTTTTCTATGTTTTTTTGCCACCAGTTACAGATTCATTAACCAGTTTCATTAATTTTATTTTATTTGCAGAAAAAGCAATTACATTTTTAAAATGTACTTTAAAAAATAAGGGTATTTGAAATAAGTCTTCTAGCACATTTTGGCTTTTTGTATTTTGATTTGTAAAATGAACAAAATTTTTATACTTAGTGTTTTTATTTTTATGCAGTAATGTCACCCCCCCCCCAAGATCATAATTCCCATTGGGATATATTCTTGACTCTGAGAATGTGGCAGTAAAAACTTTTTTACTACTATGAGGTATTTTCTCTCTGTTTCCTTCATGGTGTAATGGTAGCACACTTGGCACATATTCCAGAGGTCCAGGTTTGAGTTTCGGTGATGGTATTGCTTATTTTTCACATGTCCTATTACAAAGTAACCTAATGATTCTACAGAGGTGCCCAAACTAAATGGTGGTGGAAGATAATTCGTCAACAACGGGATTTGGCAATTGGGTTCCCTAATCCCCAGTCATCCTTTAAAAGAGGGAGTATGTAAGGTATTTTCTCCCTATTTTCTAGCACTCCTTCATGGTGTAACAGTAGCATACTCGGCGTACATTCGAGAGGTTCAGATTCAACTCTCGGTGAGGGCATTGTTCATTTTTCACATCTCCTGCTTCAAAATAACCTAATGACTCTACACTACATATAAATTAAAATTTGATTCTTAATTTTTGTTCATTCAAATAATAAAGAGGAATGAAATGTGTTAGGAACTCCTTAACTGTTCTTTTTTAATGTTTAAGTAATTACCCCCGATGGACATATCTGAAGCATTAAATTGTGAATAATTAATTTGCAAATTGTCATTAGTGTTTTTAAAATTTTTATGGCTTATTTTAAAGAAATATTTCACTAGTACTTTGTTTTAATTGCTTAATATTATCACTATTTTTTTTTTTCTTAATCAATATTTTCGGTCACAGTATATTCCCCTCTTCCACTTTCCAGGATAATAATCTTATTTTACAGTAAAAAGTTTCTTATTTTGTAAAACTGGATTTTCAATCTTAGCTGTTTAAGCGCCAGATTTTATTATTTTTAATCCTAATTTTTATTACTTAGTAACATAGAGAGACTCTTGCTTGCTTTCTTCCTTTGCTTAAAGTTTACTAATTATCTCTTTTGTTTAAAGTACCTCAACTTTTACTTGACTTGAATTATTAAGTGACAAAAACGCATTTGGAAGTACAATGTTGCAAGTATAGTACAGTAAAAGTTATGGTTTTTCTATATTATTTGCAGTTTATTATTTTTGTGGTTCAGAGCATTAATGTTTTGGGAACCCTTTAAAATACTTTTTTGGTTTGCACTAGATGCACAATTTATGAATTGGTTTACTATTGATCTCAGTGCTATTTTAATTTATGTAATGCCACTGCTGTTTGCTTATGCAAACAGAACTCCTTTTATTTTGCACTTTTTCATTACCTACCTATTCCTTTACCTGTCTACCTATCTATATAATACTAAAATAATGAAAATAATTTTTGTTACTATTTTCACATTTATTATTCTTTTTGTTTGAACTAGCTGCTTGGGAAGCTAGCCTACAATAGTTATTGTTAAGCAGAAAAAGGTATATAATTATATAATGATTTTAATGAATTTAATACTGTAATTTCATAAAAAACTTATTGATTTTAATAATATTAATTTCAATACAAGGAGTATATCTAGGGAGACAGGTGGTATATGCTATCACTGCTCATCTCCTCCTTAAGAAGATGATGCAAGGAGTAATGCATATCAAAGTGATTCTTGTGTCAGAGTAAAGAAAAATATAATTTCATCTTCCTAAGAATGTGGTATTCTAGCTAGACTGCAGAATGTGGTTCAGAGTTTTTCCTCTCCTCATTTCCATGCTTTGGGGGATGCACATAACAAACTTTGAATGGAAAAGTCTGGGAAGAAGCCAAATTGGGAGTTAATTTCAGGAGTAATCTGTCACAATTCGAGTTAAGAGTTTTCACCACGTTAAAAAAGTAATATCCAGGTTCCAAATATTTTTAAAGGTTTGAAGATGATTTTGAGTAGCAACAGATATTTTCTTATTTCTAACAGTTGAATTTAAATTCGCTTGCTGGGTTGAAAAGATGTCAACCTAGTAGAATGGAAAATTTCTGAATTCTTTTTAGCAACAGAATTTGGCTTGTTTATTTCAAATTTAAGTTCAGATTACTGTTTTAAATTTCATAAGGGGCTGATAAAGGAGAAGAGAGTTTTTCTGGTGTTAGGATATTGAAACTCCTCATGCATTACTAAATCACCAGGTTTAAAATTACTTGCTTGAAAATTATCTTTCTTTGCTTACATTATGAAAAGAATC